CATTCCATCACAAATCTGAATGAATTTTTAGATCTGTTTCAGAACACATATGAACAATCCATCACCAGTTGTTAAATCTTTTTCCCCACTGTTTTCTTCTGAAATCCATGTCAAGCCAGGCAGATTTCTGCTGCATATGGTAGGGGACAGAGGAAATGGACCCCGATTCTCAAGATCAAGCAGCATCCAATACAGAGGCTTCCTCTATAGTTTGTTCTTGCTTTATAGCACCACCTAAGGGGCCTGGAAATCTGAGAAGATAAAGGAGGCTCACGGCACAGGGAGTTTACAGCAATGGCAATTCCATTTTGGTATAAAGAGACTATCTAGAGGAAAAGAAGCAATTTCTGATTGTGTTATTTTTTCCCATCTGACCAAACTTTTGAACACAGATCTCTCTTGCAGCACAGCGACATAGTAAGGGAATTTTAGGTGACAGGGAATTAAAAAAGCATGAGAGAGTAAGGAGCATCTGAGTTTGATGGGATGCTGGCATACTGAGGATAACACATCTCTCACAGTCTAGTTTGATGAATGTCCCCCTGAGCTCTCTTCACGGACCTTTCTTCCCTGACATTGAAGAAGCGATACAGCTTTGCCCAGATCTTCAAAAAACAAAGCTCAGCTCAGTGTGACTGCCCAAGGGACTTTCAAAATCAACAGGCCAGTAATCTGGACTTGTACCTGCGAGAGGTTGGTCATCATAAAGATTACAAAATTTCTCTGTGAGGATAAACCTATCAGCCTGATCACTGGTTCTTTCCCACCTCAATGCCATACTGACTGAAAAGCAGGCTCCTGTCTGATGTAGGCGATCTGGATGCACCAGGTGTAGGAGGAAGCTCTGTACCTTATTTTCATCAGCAATGTACCCTCTTCTTCTACAGCCAAGTAATAGCTCCAAGGCACCCCTTACCCTTGGACACACTGATACACACTTCATCTCTCAGAGCTCCTCAAGCTCCAAAATCTTCCTGCTGATTTCTACAGCTAATGCTTTCCCTGCCCAGCATTTCTCCACAACATCACATTAGCGGTTTAGGAAAACATGGATCATTCTTTCAGTTTAAAACAAAACAGCAAAGCAAATCATTAATTAGGCTGTAAGCCACCTCTTCTGCTATGCGTGAAAAGCAGCAGCTGGAGGGGAGCAGTGCACCTGTGCCTCTTCCTCTGCTTCCTTGTGCCACTGCCTGCGAGTCTGCAAAGCGTATTCTCAGCTGGACTCAGAAGGAAACATAGTTAGCTAAATATATGTGTATCAACATCTGTACTTCCCTTTACCAACTTTATAAGTACGCTATTGGCTTGTTATGCCGTTGATAATTGCCATTTTTCAGCATTAAAACAACCTGATTGCCTGCAGTGTTGGTCTGGAAAATAAGGAAAGCCCTCTTGTGGCATTTAGCAGTCACACTTTTGTTTTGATTACAGGTGGTTTAAGCCCTTCAGCCTCATCACGTGGAATGATAAGTCTGCAGAGATAACATCGCTAATACTATGTACTATAGCAGTAGAATCCACAGGGCAGTAAGCAGAGCCTAGTAACTTACAGTGGGTTCAGGCCTCACGTTTGGCACTTACATGGTCTCAGTGTGATCACAGTTTCATGTTGCAAGCATGAATTTTTAGCTGTACTTCACAGTTGTGCTTAGATGGAACCGCAAGATGTAGATGTTTTATACAAGACATCTGGTTCTTCTGCATATTAATAATTCTTACGTGACCAAAGGGAGTTAGTCCCACTGAAACAGAATAGGTAACGATGTACCTGTGGGTTGGCTTAGAGCCAGAGGTTAGGAGAGTGGTGCTGTCTGGATCATTGGCTCATTGCTTGTTCTGTGAACCTGGACCAGCAGATGGATTTTTTCTTAATACGATCTGCCAAAGGAGTTTCACCTACTTGTAATAATGTGCTGCACCCACACAGCACATGATACCCGCAGGTACTCACACAGAGGGGTACAGGATACTTCCGGTATCTTAACACGGTATTCCTGCTAACACAGCAGGGAAAGTCACATCCTGTTCAGTTTGTGATCCACTCCAAACCTCTATCACATGTCTCATACGGAAAAAAAATGAATTTATTCTGCTCAGTCCTTTCTTTTCCATAATATATGTGGGAAGAGATGGACATTCATAACGAGTGTAATACCAGAAAACTAGAGTGGTGAGGCAGTGGCTCAGCTGTCCAGAGAAGCTGTGGGTGCCCCATCTCTGGAGGCACTCAAGGCTATGTAGGATGGGGCCCTGGGCAGCTGAGCTGGTAGGAGGCAGCCCTGCCCACAGCAAAGGGTTGGAACTGGGTGTTCTTTGAGGTCCCTTCGAACCCAAACCATTCTGTGATTCTATGAAATCTTCTAAGTGAATATTCACAAATGAACCAAAGAACTCACTGCTACCAGGTAGTTTTTACTGAACAGCTACGTCTTCATCAAAAATGTCAAAGGATAACTGTGAAGAATAAACTGAAATGGCAACAGTGGAATCCGAAAACATTTTTTTGAATTAAGATATAGCAGGAAGAAGTGGAGTGAAAGAGCATATTCCTCCTACACCCACCACCCTCTATCTCTTCCCTTGAATAAAAGCCAACAGGCACCAGCTTTTCCACACACCACTGTCAGTTAACAGAATGGATTATTAGGGAGATGAACATGTGAACTACCCATGTAAAACATCTCAAAAAGGAAGCCTGGATAGGTTAGGCAACATAAACGGCACTTCTCTGACCCCAAGTTACTCTTCTCTTGTCAATAATAACTGTTTACTGTCCAAGGAAGCCTGAAAAACTGTTAGATGTATTATCAATCCCTCTGTGTGTGACAGTTTTTACATTCTAATTGAAACACAAAGACTGTTTTAAAAACAGGAGAGGTACCTGCAGGGAAGTTAATATTTAGTCTTTTATTCTATTACTATGAAATCTGAATTTCCAGATGTGATCTACATTTCACATTTACACTTTGAAATGAGTGATGCTGTGGGTTTTTTGGAAGCTGTGTTTTTTTTTCTCATTTTCTATTTCTAGGCATTTAGTTATTGCTGCTGAGATTAGGCCTACAGATTTACAAATGGGCTATCATTTCTGTCTGCACTGTTCTTGTGCTTCATTCCTCCTGCAAAACAGGTGCATCTTCTGCTCAGCATGTCATATGTATTTCCTTTGTCAGAGTGGGTGGTTCTCACAAAAAAAAGCAAAATAGAAACTCTTAAGATCTATAAAACAAAAAGAAATTGAGCAGGAAAAAAAATAATAATAATAATAATCCAGCAGAACTGAGTGCTGTGTTCTGCTAAAATAGTGCACTTATTCGTGACTCTCCTTCAGTCTGCAACGTCTCTGCATTCCTCCTCCACCTCAGAACAGCATTTCCTAAACTTGACCTAACATTTTAAACAGGCAACTTTTAACCATCTGCTCTTTGACTCTCAGATTATATTTCAAATATGGTATTAAATTATCAACACAAAACTAACCCCAAATCTGTAACTACTAATTTTAGTTTCCCTACAATCATCATGGCCTCGAGAGATCTCATAGAATGGCCTGGGTTGAAAAGGACCACGGTGATCACTGAGTTTCTACCCCCCTGCTGTGTGCAGGGTCACCAACCACCAGACCAGGCTGCCCAGAGCCACATCCAGCCTGGCCTTGAATGCCTCCCGGGCTGGAGCATCCACAACCTCTCCAGACAGCCTGTTCCAGTGCGTCACCACCCTCTGAGTGAAAAACTTCCTCCTAATATCTAACCTAAACCTCCCCTGTCTCAGTTTAAACCTGTTCCCCCTTGTCCTATCACTATCCACCCTTGTAAACAGCCGTTCCCCCTCCCATTTATACATTCCCTTCAAGTACTGGAAGGCCACAATGAGCCCCCCTCCTGAAGCTTTTTCTTCTCCAAGCTAAATAAGCCCAGTTCCCTCAATGTTTCCTCACAGGAGAGGTGCTCCAGCCCACTGATCATCTTAGTGGCCATCATCTAGACCCATTCCAAGAGTTCCACATCTTTCTTGCACTGGAGACCCCAGGCCTGGACGCAGTACTGCAGATGGGGCCTCACAAGAGCCAAGTAGAGGGGGACAATCACCTCCCTCTCCCTGCTGGCCACTATTCTTTTAATGCAGCCCAGAACACAGTTGGCCTTCTGGGCTGCAAGTGCAAACTGCTGGCTCATGTCCAGCTTCTTGTCCACAAGGACCCCGAAGTCCTTCTCTGCAGGGCTGCTCTCAAGGTGTTCTTCCCCCAGCCTGTGTAAACAGGATTGCCCTGGCCCAAGTGCAACACCTTTGCACTTGGCCTTGTTGAACCTCATTAGGTTTACATGGGCCCACTTCTCCAGACTGTCCACGTCCCTCTGGAAGGCTCAGCTACCTGAAAAAAAACCTTACACACAGAGGTATCATTTGGTACAGGAGGATGACTGTTACGTATCCAAGGATCAAACACAATCCAACTGAAGCATTGGAGCACTGGCACAAGGTGCACAGAGAGGCTGGCAGCCTCCTTCGCTGGAAGTGTTCAAAGACACGTTTGGATGCTTTCCTGTGTAACCTGCTATAGGGAACTTGCTTTAGCAGGGGTTCAGGCTAGATAGTCACAAGACATCCCTTCTAACCCCTGTGACTCTGTGAAGCTGCACTCACTTTTCTACAAGCTGGTAATTCATCTACAAACACATCAGGCACTAAGACACAGCACAACCCTCTGAGTAAGAGAGCACATACTGAGTGCTGTAGAGCAAGGCCAAAGCTCACACAGGTCAGAAAGGGACAGTGCCCGCAGCACAGCTTGTCATTTCACTGACATCTTTTTTTTTTGTTTTGTTTTGTTTTTAAACAATCAGCAGAACTTGCGCTCCACCAATAATTGTCGCATTGTTTGTTTGCAGGCTTGAAGCTGTAGCTTTCAATAGCTTTTGGTAGCTTTGTGTGACAGAACTAAAATGATAAAACCCAGATGTGCCTTACTTTCCCCTTGTCCTGCTCTCTTGCAGCCCATGGGATCGGAGCGGACGGAGATGCGCAAGCGGCAGATGGCAGCAACCCAGGAGACCCCAGGCACGGTGCAGACTCAGCACAGCGTAGGGAACCGCGGGCCCAACGCCTGCTGCTTCTGCTGGTGCTGCTGCTGCAGCTGCTCCTGGTACGACCGTTACCCAGCACAGAAGGGGAGGGAGATAACAGTCAGCACGTGGGACAGCAGGAAGCAAAAAAACCACCTGGGGCATTCAGCAAGCCTGCAACTAGGAGACACTGCTTTCTGCTGCAGTGCCACTGAAATAACATTATATGCATATTTAATCTCTATGCAGTACCTTCAGAAGAGGATAAGTAGGAAAGCATTTTAAGAGATATTTTAGTCGTTGCCTTAGCCTTTCTCTAAGCTTTGAAGGTGCGCACACACGTGATCACCTTCTTAGTGAAGCCCCAGCAACACATTCCACTGAAGTTAGAAACAGAAAAAAAAAAAAAAAGGCAGCAAGAACATTAACTCTTACATACCTCCTTTTAGAAATCCTTATCATTGCCCCTCTGCTTACTCTTGTCAGTGAGCATCTAAGTCTATTTCAATTTCTGTAGCCATTTACCCTTAGACAGAAAGCTGTGGTACCAGGCAGCCCTCAGCTCAGGGAAACCCCTGCTTTCTGTTGTCTCAATCAGTACTCATCGTTAGAGCTTAGAACATCTCAACAGCTGAAGCAATAGGCCCAAGCCTTGCCCATCCCTACAGAACTGCAGGTGTGATTCAAGTGAAATGTTTTGTCTAGCTCCTCCTCCCCACCCCTTTTACTTCCTTTTTCTTTATTTTTCTTCCCTAGTAGGCTTTGTTACCTGCAAGCTAAGAACTGGTTGTTCTTGGCCTTTTCCTTGAACTGGTGTATCACCTACTAAACGAACACTTAATGTATATCATGTACTAATACTGATTCTCTTCAAATTTGAGCTTCATTGGGACTCCCAATAAAAAGCAAAAGCAATACCATAACGTGTAACAGTTCTAGATGGAGGATTGCACTTTAGAAGGAACACAGATTGCTACAGGGAGTTAAGAGTACATGTAAGGATGTGTAGGTCAGAAAGATAACAGCCAAGTGTCTGGCACTGCTTCTTTGTTGCAAAGGCGAGCAGATTTGTTGTCATTAATTAGTGGTGTCAACTCATGGCACCTGCAATTCATATCAAGTTAACTCTTGGGATCAGAGACTTTAAACACTGAAGTGTTCAATGCTCACCTTCAGTAAATAGTGGAGCAGAATATATTTTCAAAGAGCTCCTATTACAAGCTGTTGAAGAGGAAAATTTATCAGGGAAGGTATCAAGACAGGAAGAGGAGTCACTGGATTCCTTAAAAAAAAAAAAAGAAAAAAAAAAATTTGTCCACCTTTACTCTCATATCAGATGCAGTTTATTTCATTTAAAATTCAAGCAAAGCTTGCCACATTGTAAACTCCTGTTCCTGTCTGGGGTGCGTTACTAATTTAATGGGTTAGACCAGAATTTGCACTGAAATAAAGAAAAAAAAAAAATCTAAGTCATAAGAATTAAACCAAAACACTGACAGCACGCTGAGTGCTTCTTGTAAATACACTATCTACCATATGAACACTTCAGAGCAAGCAAACCTAGGACTGAGGTGGAAGAAAGAAGTCATAAAACAACCTGATTGACCAGACAAGAAATCTGTTCCACCATTACTTTTTCCCAACAGCAGCTGGTAGCAAATGCTTTGGAGAACGTAAGTTAGGGAACAGCAGGCTCATCATTCCTTTGCTATTAGTATGCTATTAGTATGCAGCTTGTCAGAGCCTATACACACCCAACCCTGTCCACCCTGATGGAAACAGAAAACATTTGGTAAGGACAAAAGGCTTCTTTTTTTGCAGGATGCCAAGGACTCTAGCTCTATCCTACAGAGCCTTGCAGCAGGTGCTTAGAGATAAACTATGGTAACGCTGAGACAGAAATACCATGCTGGTCAGGATCAAAGTTTGCTTCCTTGCAGAATGGTGCCTATACTCAACCATCACTGTACAAACATCAGTATCATCTGAGCAGTTGTCCAGTAACATCTCACGTGGGTCATTTGGAACCTGCATTATTACACTTACAAATACAATTGTACATATAGAATGAAACCCCAGACATTTACCTATGAAGTCAGAGTACATAAAACTTGCATTGTCTTGGAAACTATTGATAAGCTGTTTTCTTTGTTTTGTTTTAACTTTTTACCTGATATTCCTGAGGATGCTGATTATCTGTTGCAATTCACTATTCAAACAATTCAAAGAAAACAATTTACTCAATAGATGGAATTATATTACCCAAATTTCACAATGTTGAAAATTCTTACTTGCACTTTAGAATAAAATAAGAATCCAATACAGGTTCCAAAACAGAGTTGCTCATTTTAGCTTTAAAATAATCCTTGATTTCTTTGAGAACAATTGTTTTCTAGTAGCAAGAAATGCAAAACAAACCATAATTAAGCTATTTTTATTCCCTGTTCATAAAGCCTTTCCTCTAAATAGCTCATGTACTTTGAACAGAAAAATTATGAATAGGAATAAAAATAACAGTCTGCATGAGTCATGCAGCTGATTTGCAGAACAGCCAATACCCAGCATACACTTAATAGTAGATTTAGAATGAAATGGTGAAACGAGTCTCTCAGCCAAATTCCCACAGCCCATGTTCACTCTGCAGCTAAAACTGAAGCCTCCAGCAGCTGCTCTTTGGAAACCTGAAAATATGCATTTTGAATCTTAGCTCTGTTTACCCATACGTTTCTAGGAAATGAGCTAACCTGCAAGGGCATCTTGTGAGGCACAGCATGACCTCTGAAGGAAACTTAATTTCTTTTGGGCTTGTCTTCTTCCCCTTTCTGTTGGATATGTTTGTTCCCCTCAATCTAAAAACAACTCTGACGAGCACATCAGTTCTTGTGTGAGGAATACATACCACTTCTCTTATTAAAAAAAGGCCAGAACCACTGGTAAAAAGAATACTTAATGTAGACACAAAAATAATATAGAAAAGCACGAATAGGCTTTAACCACTTATTTTCTAAAAACACAAACTCCAGTAGTTCATTGGTTTGAATGTATGGTTCGGATGTTGCAGAGAAAAGATGTGCTTGCAATAGGTGATGTGCTTGCTCACAAATCTCACAACAGGAAAGCTTCCTTATCTCTTCAGTTTTTCTCTCCTCTATCGCCAAACCTCCAGCCACTCTTCCCAAGCCTTAAAATATTACCATTCTCCATCCTCCCACCAGGTCCCTGCAGATGATGGACCACCCGTGGAGACAGGAAGAGAAGGAATAAGTGGTAAATAGTAAGGCTGCAAATAAGACAAAGAGCTTAAAAGGAAGAAGAAGGAGGAAAAAAAAAAAAAAAAGAATTGGTTGGTTTAACAAAAAGCCTTGCTAGAGACAAATGAGATTCTTAGAGATTAAAGCAAACTGTTACATTGAGGGAAAGAAAGATACAAGTGAAGAAATAGAGTTTGGTATTTTCCTAGAAGTTGTAGCAACTGTACCACTTTATCTCAGCTGAAGTACAGATTTAATATAAATTACTGGTTGTAAGTCACTGGGATGTTTTTTCTTGACAAACTGTTAGCAGCTTTACAGATCACAGGAGTTTGTGTGCACACACATTTCTCACTGAAATGGAATAACCTCAGAATTCAATTCCTGTTTGCTAAAAGGAGACATGCTGAAAGTCAGCGTCAAAAGAATCATCAGCAAAGAAAAGAGAACACTCAAGTCTAAGTGACATAAAATACTTGCATCAAGGGTAACTTAGGTAAAAAAAAAAAAACAACAATGCAGTATAATAAACCTCAATGGAGTACATATAGACTTTGTTGCAGATATAGGTTACTTTCTATCCAAGGACATACCTAATATTGTATAGTTCTGCTGCATGAAAGTTTGCTAAGCTTACACAACTGAAGAGCTAGCATCAGAGTATAACTATGGCTCCTGTTAGCACTTTTTCATTCAACCTTTCCTTTCATAAAATTGGCAAAACTTTTGCTTGCTACCTTGCAGTCTTACTGTTAGAAACCAGGAAGAAGAGAGAGCAAGGAGAACGTCCCATGAACTCCAACCAGAGGGAATTCCGAACTGTGAGGAAAGGTATGGCTTTTATCATGCGCTCTATCAAACAAGAAACGAAACAAAAATTCAAATCTTACTAAATAATGAAAATCAATTATCTGACATATGCAAACAAATGACAAATAATCATAAAGCTGAATTTGCAAGTCATCCATCTCTTGCTCCTCAAAGAACCAAGAGTCTGATGTACAGCCCATTCTTTCATCCCATTCATATGCAGTGCGTAATCACATTCCAATTTTCAATGCTTTCTGATAAAATAAATAAAAACAAAGAAACACACATAGTAAATCATAGAATCATAAAAATCATAGAATGGTTTGGGTTGGAAGGAACCTTAAAGATCATGAAGCTCCAATCCACTCCCCCCCCCCCCCCCCCCAAGGGGGTAGGGCCACCAACCTCCCCATTTAATACTAGACCAGGCTGCCCAGGGCCCCATCCAGCCTGGCCTTGAACACCTCCAGGGATGGGCCATCCACAGCCTCTCTGGGTAGCCTGACTGTAAACATCATCTATCCTTTATCTGAAAAAAAAATATATATATATATATTTTCCCCACTGGGTTAATACATAACTGGAGCTAACTGGCAGAGCTCAGCCTTAGAAAAGGAATAAACACAAAGGGAAACTCGGATGCTCTTAAGAATCAGGCATTTTTCTCTTAAGAGTTGCCCAAGCAGGTAGGAGGACCTGTGAAGCTGCCATAGACTGGAAGGTGTCTGCTGCGGTATTTGGATTGTCACTTCTTCTTACGTATTTTCATTCACTTTGTAACTCAGTGATTCAATAAGGACTATTACAAATAATAAAAAGCTTAGTTATTGCCAAGGGTTTCTTTTTCTACTGCAATTACTCTGAGCAGTAAAGTGCAATTTCTGCATCAATGTACAGGTAATCACCTTATAAAAAATGCATCTGTTTACTGCAGTTTGCACGTGGGTAGTTCCAGTGAGGAGTAAAGAGGTTCATGAACTTTGCATTTTTGTTCCATCGTGATGGCAGACGCCTTCTACCAGATGAAAATAGTTTGAGTAACAATTGTTCATTTCTCTCTTGTCCTCTTGTCCCACCTCCACAGCCCCGCTCCTACTCTTGAAGAAGTGAATGCTTGGGCTCAGTCATTTGACAAGTTGATGCTTACGCCAGCTGGTCGAAATGCTTTTCGTGAATTTCTACGAACAGAATTCAGTGAAGAAAACATGCTTTTCTGGATGGCCTGTGAGGAACTGAAACAGGAATCCAACAAAAGCGTCATCGAAGAAAAAGCAAGACTGATTTATGAAGATTATATTTCTATCCTTTCTCCAAAGGAGGTATATTGCTTTCCCCATTCTTTGATGCTGTTTTGCATGGTTGATGTGTTTATAGCTAGAAGAATACCTGGGGATAACTCTCTTTCCCCCACATTCCACTGCTAAGAAGTAGAGATTTAGGGGTAAAATACAAACCCAGCACTGAGGTGAGATGGTCAGAACTACTTTCACCATCTGTAAGAAAATTCTTCCTATGCTGCTTTGGCACGCTGATGTGAAGGCTTCAGTTTGAGGCACAACTAACACAGAATGCTGAGTTGGGAAGGACCATAAAGATCATGGAGTTCAACATAGAGATGAAGATTTTATTCTTGTTCAACTTAAAATTTATTTGTTGGATGAATCAGTGGGGTTTTCTTTTGCAGTGCACGTAGATCAGGTCTCCAAAAGCACAGTAACCACAAATGAAGTGTTATTTGCACAGCACAAATTGCCTTTGTGCAAAAAGCAGCTCTCAAAATATGACACACAACAAGAACGCTAAGTTGAGAATTTTTCAGACCTACCTGTCACTTTGCTGGTAAAAAAATGCCCCAAGTTTCAAGCAGGTCTTGGTTCATAATTTGAGTATAATTCTAGAAGAAGGCAGGAATTTTAAACTTTCTTATATTCTTGCAAAATTTGTACACTTCATTATTTGTGGTGCCAAGTGCATGCAGATAAAAACACTGTTTAAATCTAGTCGGTCCATTCTAGTAATGCTAACACCTTTCCACAGACTGGTGCTTGCAAGAAAAAAAAAAACCAAAAAACAAAAAACATCACTTGGATGCATGTGGAATTGTTCTATAACTATGCCTGTGGTCCACATCAATTCATCCTGCTTTTTAAGATAGGGATTTGATTGAGCACCATCTTTCCAGGTTGCAGTTTGCGTCTGCATCATCCTGCTTACTCCAAAGTCAGTCTCTTTACCACAGCACTACTTTCCAAGGAAATCAGCTGTCACAAAACATTACCAATCCTCTCTGCTACAGAGCAGGAAGTCAGTCTGGAAATAATCTTCTAGTCCTTCAGGTTTTAGTAGCAACAGGGTTGCAGGCAGCCTTGTTCAAGTAATACTGCTTCTACGAGAAACTTTCTCTGATGATATTCAATACATTTTTATTGCCAAATTTCAACACATTCATTCTTGGTGTAAATATATGCATATTTAACAGTCCTTATACTCATAAAGGACACCAACTGAAACAAGAAAAAATATGTACATTTTTAAGCCAACAGAACAAAAAGCAAAGAAACTGGCTACTGTACACCACTATTACTTACATGATTCTTTATTTTAACATGCAGGTCAGCTTGGACTCCAGAGTAAGGGAAGTGATTAACCGAAATATGCTGGAACCCTCACAACACACCTTTGATGACGCACAGCTTCAAATCTATACCTTAATGCACAGAGACTCCTACCCACGGTTCATGAACTCTGCTATTTATAAGGACTTGCTTCGGTCCTTATCTGAAAAATCCATTGAAGCATAGGATTCCTTTTTTCTTATGTGTATTTATTTTAAAACAAATGGGACTCTGGGCTACCCTGATCAACAGGGAATTTAGTATTCATTTACCTGAAAACAACTCAGGCAAGTTTTACTACAGACTGAATGCTTGGAACCCGCACAAGGCTCTGATACGATCAGCTAACTACAGTTTCTGATCAAATGAAGTATTACTTTGCAGAAGAGAATGAAGAACAAACATTTATGTTAAAAAAAAAAAAAAAAAAAAAAAGCAGTATTTTTACATTGCAGCATACAACTTGGACACAAGTCTCTTATAATGTATATCTGAAGTACTGAGCATGAAAACTAATTTTAAGTGGACTGTCACAGTTTTCTTGAAAGTCAAACCAGTTGCTCCATACACACTATGACCAAAGTAAAAACAGTTGTACTGTCACTCTCTGGGTTACATGAGACCAAGTTTCACCTCCTGTATGAATTGTGCTCAGTGCAGGTAAACCCCACTTGTCTTATCTGATGTGTATACAGTGTGATAATGGAAATCACTATGATCTCAAGTTTCCAAGACCTAATTGTTGAAATAATTAATGCTGCCTATAAAAACCTTTTGCTGAAAAATTGTTATTTTACTACCGGAGTCCACTGAGAGCATTTTTAAGTTCAGATTGTTCATGTTTATAATGTTAAATTATTTACTTAGTAGGAAGAAGAGTCTGGGGATTGGAATTCTTAAATAAAGCACAATTCTCACATATTTTTAACTTCCCTCTGCAGGTAGGTGTAAAAAGCATTTCATTGTTTGTTCCTGAAAGAGTAGCACTATCAGCCATCTTGGTTTTGTACACACTAATTTGACTTGTTCACTGACAGAGCTTGTAAGGCTTACATAATGAATACTCATACCTTACACTGACAAAAGATGGAAGCCAGAACTATCTCATTCCATTGCACTTTTTCAGACTGTCCAAAAGAAAAGCAACAGCTTTATCAGCTAATAAACTTACGTTCATTACACTTCACCAAAGGCATTACACTACCCCTAATTCTAGCAGCATGAAAAGAGCACTTTCAGAAAAAAAAAAGAAATGGGAATAGCAAAGCAGAATTTAGGATATTGATTTGTCTGCCTCAGTGCACTAGGTAGGAGATGTGATCTCCCCTAACCATATTCACATCATCAAACAAATAAGGAGCTTTTTCATTGCAGGAAAAGACCTAATACAAGGTAAGTTTACAATAGCTGTAGACTAGTTTCTACAGTCTCCTTCCAAAGCTGAAACATGATTCAACACACCAACTTAAAAACAACAACAACTCAGCACCTTGAAAGACTGGAAAGCAATGTTCTTTTTTCCTTCAGTACAAAACTGGATGACCCAGAGCACCAAGTCAAGAGGAATCCGTTCTATCTACTTCTACTGCACACATGCAACTGCTTCATTTTCAAACGCGCGTTCTCTCAACTGACTTTGGCATATCCCAAAGCACTACCACTAACTACTACTTGGTTATATAAAGTATAGCATGATAGGCAACAAAGGAACAAACTGGATCTGCTGGTAAGGCAGCATTCAGAGGAGCTTGCAGTCAAACTGAGAATGCCATTGGTGCTGTTTTAATCAGACTGGGTAATGCTGCTCTAAAACTCTAAGCTGACAAAGTAAGTTTAACTAGGTCAGATTCTGCTTGCTGGAAAGATCAGACACACATCAAAAAAAGTTCAAAGTGTGTCATTTCACTGAAATGGCCTGTTTCATTTCTTTTAAGTGTTCTCCCTTCCCTGCAAAGATACCTCATTAAAAGCTGGAAGACAGCTGGAACGCTCATACTTTACAGTAGACAATGCATTCTATTATCCTGTGGGAAAAAAAAAAGATACACTGAAATTAAAGGGGAGACAAGATGATACTGGATTGGGCAGTTCTGTGGCTAACAATCAGAGTACTACAAAAAAAAGTAGCTATTTCTAAACTTATTTCCCATTTTCCATATCCAAATAATTAAAATACTCAAGGTAATTTTCACTTTATTTCTGCATTACAGTGTGCTGATATTTGCAGTGCTCATCTTTCTTGGAAAACCTTAAATGTTAATGCTGAGTTTTAGATTTAACCTCACATTCAATACTGGTCCCTAGGCACCCTGAGAGTATCTCATACAAAATAAATCACTTCTCCCCTAAACAATGTTATTTTGAGGCTGTTCAATGCTGGATTTAATTGAAAGAAAAAGGAAAAAAAAAAAAAAAAAAAAGGCAAAACAAAACTCACACAGAAGGCAAGTTTTTAACTATACTTCATTACGATGTACTTGCTCATTGTGCACAAATCCTTTCCATGGCAAATGTGAATTATAAGTTACTATAAGCAAGATGTTATAGAAATGAGAAAACAATGATATTGACACAAGATATTATTTATAATTCATAAAGTAAAAAATTACCAGAAAGTCAACTTATCCTAGCTTGAAAATAAGCATGGGTGGTTTGCCTTGGCCTTTATTTAACCACAGGATATCATTAAGCTATAACAAGTATCCAGCCCACTGGTATTTTCTTCAATGTCTGTACTTTACAAACCAATAACTGTCACAGAACATGCATATTGTTAAAGACTGCTTTTTTCCAAGAGCCTGCTAAGTAGTATTAAAATTGTATGGCCTCCTTCAGTCAACACACTGTGCTTTATACTGACCTTTAAAAGCAATTAGCACAGTACAAATGGAGGGGATAAAAAAAAAAAAAAAAAACAAACATCTAAACATACACAGGCTGAAAGGTTCTACTGTATCAATTAAAATTGATCAGAGAAACATAAAGCACGCCTCCTGATTAATAACAGCTGAAACAGAAAATGTGATCAGAGTCCAACTCAATGTAATTTAAAGTATGTGATCACAAGGCAAATCCAGAACTCCAAATTAAAAAAAAAAAAGGCAGTTGCTGATAATATCTGGGAAATGCCATGTGACTTCAAAATGGGATTCATAAAAGCTTAGGTCACTGAGCAGCTGTTTACCTTCTGTTTAGTGCAAGTCAAAAAGCTGTAGAAACTTCAGCTTATGCTATGGGACAACTATGTTCCAGACTCCTCTTCGTTAAAAAAGTGTGCGTGAAAAGCTCACCGCTGAGCACTTCTATTTTTGGATTTGGATAACCAAAATGAAGCACAACTAGAATTTAGGCACCTATGTTTTTTTTAAGTCAATTTCTTGGACTTTGCTCTTCCGCTAGGACAGCTCTTTATTCTGAAATCAGAGGAGTAAAAAGTTGAGGCAGCTACCACAGCCACAAAGCTGGAGCAGGACCAAAGAAGGGCAACAAGGCTTGTTAAAGGCTTGGAGAATATGCCCTATGAGAAGTGGCTAAAGTAACTGGGGCTGTTTAGTCTGGGGAAAAGGAGGCTGAGGGGAGACCTTATTGCTCTCTTCACACACCTGAAAGGTGATTGCAGTGAGAGTGGGTTTGGGCTCTTCTCACTGGTGATGTGTGACAGGATGAGGAGAAAGAGCCTCAAGTTGTGGCAGGGTAAGTTTAGGTTGGATATCAGGAAAAACTTCTTTAGAAAAAGGGTTGTTAAGCACTGGAATAGGCTCCCCAGGGAGGTGGTTGAGTCACCATCCCTGTGTGTGTTTAAAATTGTTTGGATGTGGTACTCAGGGACATGATTTAGCAGAGGGTTCTTAGAGTTAGGGTAGTATGGTTAGGTCATGGTTGGACTTGATTATCTTTAAGGTCTTTTCCAACCTGAGCAATTCTACAACAGAGAAAACATTACCACAGGTCTAGCTCTTTTAATTATTTTCTTACATGTGGCAGTCAGGCAGAAAGATTGAAGAACAAATAGCATTAGGAAGGCTGCATAAACAAACACTGCCTGTCCTGTATGTGTTTTGAACAGCAATGGAAATTTAGGTCTACTTGCCATCCAATTTGCGATCATTTTTAACTTTTTTTTTCCTCATTCCTCTAGAAATACACTAAAACACAGCACTTTCCTCGATAGCAAACATCTATATAACTAGTCTGCTGCTGCCTAAAGCAAATTAAATGAAAAATCTATTATGAACCTGTAAATAATTTCTAAGAAGCAATTCTGCCAAAGGACTCACACATAGGCAAAAAATATATCAAATATATCTATTCTTCTAATAGAAAAAGGAAGGCTTTCTGAATTACAGCCATACTATCAAGTAAGTTGAATTTAAAATGTTTTTATGCAAAGTTATGCGAGAAACCTTGAAATGCTGAGCTATTTTGTGCCTAAAAAGTGTTTAGATATGTAACTCAGCTTCTTTGATTTAAGCATTTTTCTTTCCACCATAAAAGCCACTTTTTTTTTTCTATGTATAATAATAAAATACATTATGGGAATAGGATGCATATTTCAGACTTAAAAATACAATAGACGATTCGCATACTTAGGGAAAAAAAAACAAACAAATTATCAAAATACTTCATTGGTAAAAGTTTAATTTCAACTTACTTACAAAAATGAAAAAATATTTTAACATTCACCATACAATCGAGCAACCTGGCCCTACTGACTATCAGCTATAGGAAGGCATTTAAGGAAATGATGGCTGTGTCAAAATGAAGGCTAACTTCAGGCATGTATGCTGCATTAAAAAAAAAAAAAGAAGAAAGGAAAAAAGAAAACCAAATAACCTCTTGTTCACAGGAAGCTAGCTGCTTAGCCTAGTTTTTAAAGCTAATTACAAAATCCTCTTTCATACTGGTCCAGATGTCTTGATAATTTCTTCCTCTAACAGAACTGTGAAAAGAAAAGAAATTTTATGAGGTCTCCATAAAACTTAATTCTAAATCTTTGCAAGAAGAAACAGCAATATGACACTATACTTTGGATATGGAAATTAGTATTCAAAGCATTTGCTTATATCATACAAGCATGCTGTCACTCAAGCATTTTTATATAGAGACTTTTATAACTACTACCTCAGTAGGGGATTTAAGGACACATCAACTTTTTCTTTGTGCCATATCAAACAACTTCTAAGCTTTATAAATTATTGAGATATCTTCTATCTGTAT